CATGCGAAGCGATGCCCAGCCGGCCAGGCCGTCTGGCGGGCCGCACTGCACTGGCACGCAGCCGATGTGGTGTACTCGAGCTCCCGGGCCCCCGCGCCGCACGCGCGGTGTGCGTGCCCACTTCTCCCAAGTACGTGGCACACATGGCGAGGCTCTGGGACGTGGGCGCCGAGATGGCCCATCCCTCCTCGCCGCCTCCGGAAGGCGCGCCAGTCGGGGCCTCACTTGGCGGCCGTCGGCGCCGGCGCCGCGCGGCGGCTCCGCCGGCTGCTGCGCCTGGCCCCGCGGCCTCGTCGTCCTGCCCCCCCTCCTCGACGTCGACCTCCATGGCCCGGGAGTCGGGGGAGGAGAAGGCGGGGTGGGCGAATGGAGTGGGCGAGGGAGGGAGGGCCCGGCCGGACAGTGGCTGCGGCGATTCGAGCTCCTCCTCCTCCTCCTCCTCCTCCTCCTCCTCCTCCTCCTCCTCCTAGTGGCTCCTAGTGGCTCCGTAGCTGTCCGTTACCGCTGAGCGATAAGGCAGCCCAAAAGACAGTGCAGAGGCAAGGGCTGAAATGGGTTCAGGCGGTGGCGGACGACCAGCCCGACTGAACAGACCACCTGAGGGGAGCGGACCTCCCGAAGCTCGCTCCCGAGCTGGGGTCCACTCCGTTCCTGAGCATTCTAAGACTATTAACTGAATCGCGGTTGCGAGGACCCCCTTGGCAAAGAGTCCCCAGGAGCCGAGACCGAACGGACCCGAACGCCCCGCAACACGCGCACCAGGCCACCCGACCCCCGCCGAGCCAAAGCCTGTGGCTCCGATGCGCGGTCCTCGCAACCCTCGGCGGACCGCCGCAAGGCGTTCAAGCTGTGTGCGTCCTCGTGCGGCCTCTTTCGCAGCACGTCGCACACCTATACTGCTTGCCTGCCTTCTCGATTAGGTGCCCATTGGGCTCGGGAATTAACTGCAAAACTTGGGGCTTTGGCCTTCTAGGCCTCCGCACCCTCGTGACATCAGGGAAATCTTTTACCGAGAGGTCGTTCATGACCTCGGCAATTAACCAGGCCGATTGTTGGACCAAGCTAGCACTCTGCTTGAGTTGCGCCCTAATGAGAGGGTTAGTGGGATGGACCTGGGCCCAAGCTTGGCGAGCTCGTCGGCCCGTCTGTTGCCCCTCCACTCCCACTCACTCGCGCCTTGCCTACGGGCCTGACCGAGGGAGAGGTGAGACCTAACCCTACGTACCGAAATCAGATCGCGTCCGAGAACCTCCGATAAACTGAACACTTCCCTCCACAGCTCCGAGTATGCAACATCCTCCAAGTTCTGCTCTGGGCCGAACCCCCATAGATCCTCCACCATTTTGCAGTCCGTAATCACATCAAGCCCTTGCGGGCCCGCCAGTCGCAACGCCATGAGTAACGCGTACACCTCCCCCGCCCCAGCAAGCTGTATGACGTGCGGCAGGGGTCCGTACGCCGAGCCGACAATGTGCCCGCTCTGCGTGACCGTCCTCCTCCTCCTCCTCCTCCTCCTCCTCCTCCTACCCTCATCCTGTTCCTCCTCCTCATCCTCCTCCTTTCTGGTGATCATCACCATCACCATCACCATCACCATCACCATCGCCATCGCCATCATCGTCATCATCATCATCATCATCATCAGCATCATCATCATCATCATCATCATCATCATCATCATCATAATCATGATCATCATCACCATCATCAGCATCATCATCATCAGCATCAGCATCAGCATCATCATCATCAGCATCATCACCATCATCATCATTATCAGCATCATCATCAGCATCGTCATCATCCTCATCTTCAGCATCATCAGCAGCATCATCATCACCACCACCATCATCATAATCATCGTCATCATCATCACCAGCATCAGCATCATCATCATCATCATCATCATCATCATCATCATCATCATCATCATCATTACCATCATCATCATCATCATCATCATAATCATGATCATCATTACCATCCCTTTTCTCCTCCTCCTCCTCGTGCTCGTCTTCATCCTCACCCTCCGCCTCCTCCTTCGCCTCCTCCGTCATTATTCCTCTTTCTTATCCTCATACTACTTATCACCGTCCTCGCCATGCTCGTCAACGCAACCAGCATCGAAGACCATCGGCATCATCACCATCATCGTTCTTGAACGTTGGCAGTAGCAATCGTAATAGTACTCATCGTGATAGCACGAATAAAAACAATATAAGAAGTAGGGCGAGTCATAGTGGTAGTATAATGCTCTTAAACACATGTAGGACTCGTTACAATACTTCTAATAACACGAGTGGTTGTGATGGAAGTAGTATGATTGATGGTGGTAGTGGTGGTAGTGGTGGTGGTGGTAGTTGTAGTAGAAAGATCCATGGTAGTCGTAGTAGGGATCGAAGTCGTCGGAGTGATAGTGTGATGGCAATAATCCTATCACCTGTCAGATGGACACAAGTAGCAATGGTAAAAAGGAGTAAAGTTTCAGCAGCAGTAGTCGTATCAGTAGTAGGTGTTGTCAAGCGTAGTAACAGTTTTTGATGGTGCAGCTGTAATTGCAGTCGTAGCAGTGGTGGTGGCAGTAGTAAGGCACATGTGATTGCTGGTGTGCTCCATCCTGTCTGTGCACACAACAAAGGATGCATACAGTACAACACAGCGTCCTTGTACACGCAGCACCTTCTGCGTGCACCACAGGGCATGTGTGTAGCACCATTCTTGCGCAACCACAGCAGCGGTGCGCATCTATCTCAGCGTCTGGAGCACGCGTGCAGCAATATGTCAGTAATTTGTGATTATTGAAATGTCTGACACAGACTCAGCAAAACCATGACGTGCACGAACGTACCACATTCAATCTGTAAGTTGTTGTGATTATTGATTTGCTGGACCAGGGTACAGTACACCGCAGTGTTTTCATGCAGAACAGCGCCTGTGTACAACACGATGCTCGCACAACCACAACAGCAGTGTGCACCACAGCCCCTGTGGTGCACGCGTGCACCAAAGTGCCTGTGTACACGCCTGCGTACACCACAAAGCCTGCATGAAACCTGCAAGGCCCCGACTGGGCCGAACCGATCAGCTCAATCATGCAAGTTCGTTGTGATTATTGATTCTCTGGCATGGGGCACCTGTATTTATTTTGGGCCCACGGCGCCGGCGCACAACACAGCGACTGCGAATACGACGGCGCTTGCGTACAGCAAAACGCCTGTGCGCACAGCATGCATACATCACAGCGCTGGTAGCTACGAGCGCCGCGCTACGAGCGCGACACCAGTGCCTCTGAGCAACAGAGAGAGCAGCACTTAGCCCCGTCGAGCACCACAAGCGCGTGAGCGCAGCGTTACCTCGCGAATGCGATAGCATGCCCGTGAGCTCCACACCAGCTTGTGTGAACACCACAAAAGCCTGCCAGCGCCACAGGACGCGCGTAGTTGCCACAGGACGCCTGCCGTGACGTGATCTGGCGGGCGGGGAGGCGGTGCCGATCACGCCTGTTATCGCCCGGAGGGAAAAAACGGGACACATCTGGACTGCGCGTCGGGAGTGCCATGCGCTACCATTTGCCCCGTTTGGGCACCGATGTGGAACGTCGACAATTCAGACGACCGCGACTACAGCCAGAGTGCTACCATGAGGAACACTACGTACGGAACGAGAAGGTCTTCCAACCACGGCGAGCCTAGGTCTCGAGTAGGTTCCCCTCCCTAGATATCAGGAACGGTCCGAAATCCCCAGCCCCTCCTGAACCCGGAGTCTTGGCTGTAACCCCGAACTGTCTTGAGTGGCCAGTGGCCTGGTGCATCATCTTTTCCGCTGGCCGCGGCTGGCTCCGGCTGGACCCTGATGCGGCGCGTCGAGAACTCGGTCGGCCACGGAGCTACAACACTCTTGATACGGTTATTATTTCCATGGTTGAGGGCCCATGCTGCCGCACCTCTCATGCTCTGTTCCAGGGCACCACAGCCAGCGCCAGGAATGGGAATTCCTGGGATCGGACAGTTCGGCGCTCATCTCCGAGTTGGCATGGGTGCCTTGGGGTGCCTCCTGGCGTGGAGGTCTGAACTACTCCAGGGAGTGCCTGCTGAGAGGGCGACTTTTTTGTTGTGGCATTGGCCGGAGGTGGCCCCACGCAGCGACAACCAGGGCGGTCGTTTCTCCTCGGCGGCACGCCCATGGGGGAAGGCGGTGCATTTGTGGGCCCACACCCCAGCTTACTCCAGCCAAGGGTCAGTTTTACGCGTGCCTAACACTAGAAGAAGACAAACAAAAATGCATAAGCAGAAATGTTCGGAGGTCCGCGCGGATTTCTCGGATGGACACTGCGGAAGGCGCTAGGGGCGGCGCCAGCGGCGGCGCCAGAGGCGCCGCCAGAGGGGGACCACCGATGACCCCAGAAATACGCGCGGACCTCCGAAAGTTTACGCTTGTGTATGTCTCGCCCGTCGAGACACGGTTGGCATGAAGCAAGCGGGCCCTGAGGGAAACCGGTCCTGGATCCCAGGGCCTTCCCCCAGGATCCGAGTTGTTCCTCCTTCGGTTCTGTACTGGACAGGGTCCTGGGCCCCGTGGAGGGCCCAAAGAGGCCGAAAACGGCGAACTTCTCAGGACCCGTTTCCCTCCGGACCCCATTGCTTCATCATCATGGCTCATTCCCCAGGGGTAGTTGTTTCGTCCCGGATCCATGTTTGATGGCCCCGAGGCCCATGAACGCGTCCCCGAAGCGGAAATCGAAGAAAACCACCCCGATTGAAAAAATCTGAGGAGGAGGGGAGAAAGGAGAAAGGAGAAAGGAAGAGGAGGAGGAGGAGGAGGAGGAGGAGGAGGAGGAGGAGGAGGAGGAGGAGGAGGAGAGGAGGATCGAGGAAAAACGCCCAAATTGAACAACAACAAAAAAACGTCGTAGACCTGGGCGGGAGCGCAAGATCGATACGCCTGCCCCTCGCCGGCACCCCGCAGGGGGGGGGAGGCAGGCCGACACACGTCGCGGGCGCCTCCGCCGCCGCGCTGGCGCACGCCTCGGCATCTGCCGCGGCCGCGCTGGCACGTTGGCGGAGTCGGCGCAGCGGCCTCCCACGGCGACGGGGGAGGCAGGGCAGGGGAGAGGGTGGCAAGAGAGCGGGAGGGGGAGGGGGAAAGAGAAAGGAAGGGGCAGGGAGAGGAAGAGGGAGAGGGAGAAAGAGAGGGTCAGAGGGAGGGACAGGGGGAGGGGGAGAGAGAGAGAGAGAGCGAGAGAGACACGGAGAGAAAGAGAGAGAGAGAGAGAGACAAAAAAAAGAGAGGAGAGAGCGCAACGATGCGGACGAGGAGTTCGTCCGCGGGCGGAGGCTGCAAGCGCCTCCCGCCCGCACCTCCTGTGGCGGGAGGGGCCGCATGTGATCGGCAGGGTTGGCGCTTCTTGCCCCGCCCCTGGCGCGGTCGAAAACAGGCACCCCGACTGGAAAAGCTGGCGGGCTGTGGTGGCCAGGGTGTGGAACAGCCCGTCTGGCACCCCTGAAACTGCAAGAGAGACTCCGGCTTTTGGCTCGCTCTGACCTGCGCGCCTCTCGGAACCCTGCGAGGAGAAGGCGCCGCCTGGGGGCGCCCCCCCGGCGGCCCAGTGCAGGGCCCCCCCGTGGCAAGTGCGCCAGACCTTCACACGGGCCAAGGCGGAGACATGTGCAAACAGGCCCGCCCAAAGGAGGGGTGCAAGGGCCTCCCCGCGTGAACCTCACGGCGACAGGACCCGAGCCCCAGCGGCCGCGCAAGCACGGCCGCCCCCGGCTCCGCCCGGCACCACGCCAGCGGCACCAAGAGGAGCCGCCAGGGGGCCGGGCAGGAACAGGGGAGGTGCAGGGGGCCTGCCACGCCTCCGCACACAGGAGTGGTTTAGACACCCCGAATCTGGGGCCGAATGCGGAGAAGGTGGAAAAGCCTCAGTGCGAAAGGAAGCCCAGCCACTGGTGGCAGCCTGCTCACGGGGCGGATCCCAGGGCCCTCACACGACGGTGCAAGCCATATCCCGTATGGACTGGTCCTGACCCTGCGCGGGCAATGCACCTCGTGGCGCACACCCAAGAGAGGCAGATGGAGGACGGCAGTGGACGACGGTGTTCGTAGCAGCGGCGCCGTGAGGCAGCATGGAGCATGGGGAAGCGCCCCAAGAGGCAGCGAATCGTCGGTCAGTCTACAGACAGCGTCGGGGTGCAGGGTCGGACGAAGGCGTTGTCGTCATGGGCATCGGGTCGCAGCGGTGGATGAAGGCTTCAAGCCAAGACAGGCGTCTGTGATGGGCGTCGTCCGCTTCCGTGGTGAGGCGTCGGAAGACTGCGTGCATAACCATCGCACCCGTAGCGCGATGGTTGGGGCCGAGGGCGTCGTCAAGGCAACAAATGAAGGCACAGAAGCCACATGCCAGCGCAAGTCGTATAGCCACGGGCAATGCATGTGGCAGGAAGCGCAGTGCTCGCACGCGTAGCTTGAGGCGCTGGTCCGCTGTCAGCGTGTCGGATCATGGCGGGGCCTTCTTCCGCAGTCCCCTGGGTCCAGGGGCGGGTCGGAGGTCGGCAACCGACGTGGGGTGGACCAGGTCTGACGCGAGCGCCCAGAACGAGATGGCGCGACGGCCTGGTGAGAGCGGCGGCCGTCGGGGACTGTAGGGGGCTGTGACTGGCGTGCGGCAGAGTCGCCATCGCTGGCGGGACGGCCTGGTGGCCTCCGCCTCCGCCTCCTCCTGCTCCTCCGCCTCCCCCGCGTCCCAGACGGAAGCTAGTGGTCCAGCCTGCGCCACGTGGCTGCGCCTGGTGGCGTGCCACTCTGAGGGGCGCTGGGGGAGCGGGAGCGAAGCCCGCGGCTGGTTATGGGCCTCGTCGTTGCCGTAGCGGCAGCACGCTGCAGGGAGAAGCAGCACGTGGAGGAGAGTGGCCAGCTCTCGGGTAGCGGTGGCCAGCCAGGCGAGCCCACGTAGGAGAGGCCTGAGTGGTGCGCCCAGGAGGAGGAGGAGGAGGAGGAGGAGGAGGAGGAGGAGGAGGAGCACGCCAACCCCCTCGCATGACGAGGTGCGGGGGATGGCGTGCGTGACAGCGTGTGGTCTGGCTGTCGTGTGGGCCTATAGGGCCTAACGGCCCTGCTGAGAGGTGCCCGTGGTAGGCGTCGGCCACTCGGCGGGCGGGCCGCTAGGAGCCACGGAGGGGTGGCGTCGGCATGTGTCTGCCTGGTCGCCAGGCTTGTGCGTCGGTCGGTCGACGTTCGCTCAGCGGCCATCGGCGGCGGTTGCCGGCGTACTGTCGTCAGACGGTCGTCGGGCAGTCGACAGACGGGCGGCGGACGAGCGTGGTCGGTCGGCGGCGGTAAGTCGTAGGACTTATCCCCGCTAGGAGGGCAGCTGTCAAGCTGAACGTGTGCAGGTGGGCAGTGTTGCCGTTGGTCAGCTGGACCACCCACTACTGCTTGCGCTCCCCCGTTCGACCGACGGCGGTGCCGCGGTGGCCGTTGATGGGGCTGCGCTCCTGGTTGGTAAATGTCACATCGGTTCCTTCGCGGGAAGACGGATGCACCGGGGGAGGAACGCGGCCAGTGTCGGCGGCCAGTGCGTCAGCCCCCCTGGCCGATACGTGGGCCCTGGTGGGCCCTAATAGTCCCGACGCAGGTGGGTGATGGTGCTAGTGTTGTCGCTGGCGGCCGAGCGGTGGTGTACAAGGTCGCGCCGTGGCAAGGATGGACGTCGGTGCCCTCCTCTGCGTTCGGCGCACGGTGCACGCGAGCACCGGACCTGGTGGCTGCTGCGGGTGCCTCTGCGTGACCCTCGGCGCGGCGCAGCACGAACCTTGGCGGCAAGGCTTGCAGCGGCGCCCAGGTGCCCAGCTGCAGGGTCACCATGCGAACGTGGACGTGGTCCATTTCTGGGGGACCGTGATGGTGGCGCTCGTCGGAGGTCCTCTCAGGGATGCTCAGCAGTGGCCCCCGAGGTGGTGATGCACCAGTCGGCGGGTAAACTATCGGTCAGCGTGCGTGCTCGCTTGGAGGGGGACCGGAGATTGCGTAGCAGTCGCAGCGTGTGGCCGGAAAGGCGGAGGCGGTCCGTGGTGCCACGTGGGGGCGAGCGTTGGTGCGTGGGTAGCAGACGGCCGTCGATCGTCGTCGTCAGAGGTCGGCCAGTCGACGGTCGGTCGTCGGCGGTCGTTCTGGCGGTCGGAGGACGGTCGTCGGACGGTCGTCGTTGGGTAGCGGACGGCTGGCGGACGGCCAGCGTGTGGTCGTCATTCGGGTCGGCGTCGTCTGGCTTGTCGTCCGACGGTCGGCGGACGGTCGGCGGACGTCATGGGGTCCGTTGGTATTCAGCAGACCTTCGATCAAGCGATTGGAAGGGACATGCGCGGGCCTGGTGGCCCCCGTGGCTGGTGGTGCACCGAGGGCCTGGTGGCCTCCGTGGCTGATGTCCCTGAGAGTCGGCGGACGCTCACACGGAGGGTCACTAACTACGGACTGCGCTATGGGTGGCATCATGGAGAGTGGCAACACTGAAGGGTTCCAATGTGGGTTTTCAGATTGTCGGCTGGAGGGTCGCGTGAACCACGGCGGATGGACTGGCTGCAGCGTGGGCCTGGTGGCCCACGTGGCCGATGCCCCTTTTAGTCCGCTGACGGTCGGAAGGACGGTCGTGGGTCGTCGTCGCCAGAGGTCGGGCAGTCGACAGTCGGTCGTCGGCGTTCGTTCCTGCGGTCGGCGGACGGGCGGCGGCGGTCAAGGGCGACAGCAGGGAGGCTGGCCTGAGAGTTGGCCCGGTGGCAACACTGTGGGGCGCTACTGGGGGTCGTCGGACGTTGGCGGGAGGGTCACAGTGCACCGCGACAAAAGGACTGGCTGCAGCGAGTGTTGGCCTGGTTGCAACACTCAGCGGCTCCAGTGTGGGTCTTCGGACACGTGGCGGGAGGGTCGCACTGAACCACGGCGAATGGACTGGCTGCAGCGTGGGCCTGGTGATCCACGTGGCTGAGTCCGCTGACAATCCGCGGGCGGTCGGAATGACGGTCGTCGGTCGTCGTCGTCAGAAGTCAGGCGATCGACAGTCAGTCGTCGGCAGTCGCCCCGGCGGTCGACGGACGGACGTCGGCGGTCGTCGGACGGACATGGGCGACAACATGGAGACTGGCTGGAGTGTTGGCCTGGTGGCAACACTGAGCAGCACTACTGGAGGTCGTGGGGCACTCGGCGGGAGGGTCACAATGAACCACGGCGGATGGACTGGCTGCAACGTGGGCCTGGTGGCCCACGTGACTGATGTCCCTGAGAGTCGGCGGACGCTCACACGGAGGGTCGCTACGGATCGCGACATGGGTGACATCACGGAGATTAGCTGGAGTGGCTGCATGATTGCAACATTGAGCGGTTCCATTGGCGGTCGTCGAACATTCGGCTGGAGGGTCGTTGTGAACAACGGCGGGTGGTCTGGCTGCAGTGTGGACCTGGTGGCCCCATCTGGCTGGCGCCAGTGGTAGTCGGCGAACTCTCAGGTGGAGGGCCACCATAAACTACGACATGTGGGCTGGGAACAGCTTTGCCTTGGTGGGCATGGTCCATTCCAGTTGCAGTCGGCAATGGCCCGTCGGTTAGGCCGTGATGCTCTGGCACAATGACGCTTGCTGCAGTTACGTCCTGGTGGCATCCTGCTCGTCGGATTGTGGGAGCCTCGGCATGGAAAACGGCACGAAAGACACGCAGGGCTCCAGGTAAGGCGACCACGGTGATCCTCAAGGTTTCCATGGAGAACGCCACGAAGAGGATGAGGGCCACCCTGGCCGGCGGGGGGGCGTAGGAACTTGGCGCGAAGAGCACGGAGATCATCGCGGACATCGCGATGATCGACAGGGAGGTATTCGTGTAGATGAACCGAACGAACGGGAAATCTTGCCCTGGTGGATCAAAAAGAACCTGGCCATCAAAAACGGAGACTCGAAGAAGGTAGTTGCCGTGGAAGACCAGTTAAACACGCAGCGCAGGACGTCATAGCCGATGCAGGGGGCTCGAGTCACGGCACGAGGCAGCTGCCGCCCTCCAGTCGGGCACGTCGGGTCGCTGAAGTCGTAGGCCAC